TCTATTTTCCCTCATTAGAAATGTTTTTACTCTAGTTTCCATGACAACAGACAACCTCAGGCTTTTAGTCGGGAAAAGTTCTCGTGAAAGCTAGACAGTACCAGAGTAATCTTTCCTTTTTTGCTGCAATTTTAGTTTGTCACACCGCTTGATTACTTTACCTTGAGAGCGTAATATCTTTTACGTCTGACGTTGTGTAGTAGCCGATTTTAGACCTTGTGTAATTTAATTTTACCTTCTATTCAAACACCTACCTCATCAATAAATGATCAGAAGTCATTCATGGCGATTAACTTTTTATTTAGCTTTTCGAAAAAGGTTCATTTTGGCTATATTTTTACAAAATTTTCATCATTTCGAAGAACACAAAATCTTAACAACCGCCAAATATTCGATTTTTTTTTCTATAAAGAAAATATATATTTGCCATTTGGTATTAACTTAATGTCAATAAAATAGTTTTAAATATGTTATAACAAAAGAGAGTTTTTGTATAATTTCAAATTATTATAATTTGTGTTTTCACTACAGCGCGAGAACGCGAGAATCTCGCATATTTTTTTCTTTTCTCGCATTAAAAAGTGATTACCGCGAGAAATTCGCGCATTCTATAAACCAATTTCAAAATTCGCGAATTTCTCGCATTTTGAAAAAAATTTCTCATTGCGCCATTTAGAATAAAATCCGTTTCACTTTTCTTCCTGGATCTTTCATTATTTTCAACATCTGCCCCATTATCTAGCTTCCCTGTTTACCAGTATTGTTCAGAATCTTTAAGAACTACAGAACACCATCCCTCCGAACCTCTTTCAGAACGCATTTCTCTGCAACCACGTGTTTACTGTAGGTAAGGTTTCTTCATGTAAGACGTTCAAATTTTTTGCGCATTAATGCAAGATGGACAAATACCTTGTAAAGGCAATATCTTCTACTCCGAAACGGACAAATGAAAATGAAACAAATGTGGGTAGAAACGATCAAAACGAAACAAATACGCATTTGAGCAACCTAATGAGAATAGCTGATGAAAAAGTAGATGTAGAACATTTTCCATATGATGATGCAGCAAAAATATTCAATGCTTTAAAAATTAGAAGATATTAAAAATGTATTATAATTAAAGAAATGATTTTTTTTTCAAGTCTCTGTGTTTTTGTTTTTTAATTTTTAGAAATCTCACTTAACTTTTTGAAATCTCACCCTGTTTTTGAGAAAGGGTGAGAAATTCTCACCCATTTTTTTTCTGCGATGAAAACACTGATTTGATCCCTGTAAAAATTTATTTTCTTAACATAGCGAAAAAAATTTTTCAAAAGTTTTTATTGTAGTTTCAACGTATCAAATTGCTTTTTGGTATAAATATTGGTTATATTTTCTTAAAATTTATTCTGTTTAAAGGGAAACAAAATTTTGATAATCATCAAATTTTCTATTTTTTTGTCTAAAGTGTATAGAAAAATTTATGTTTGTCATATTAATACTAATATCAATAAAATTGTTTTAAAGCATATAATGACTATTATAGTCGGTTTTGGATTAATTTACTCAAAAGTAGGATTTCTACTCCTATGAAATTTAAATTTTGTTAAATTAATGAAATAATCATTACAAATTTTTTGTTGTAGTTTGAGTGTATCGAAACTTGTAATTTTACAAAGAAATGCTTTAAAGTGATTTTTTTGTCTGATACTCTACTGAAGTTAAACAAAAACTGATCGTTTGCTGTTATTCCTATTATGCAGTTTTAGATCATTAGAACATTTTTATTGACACGCAAGAGTATTTTTTGGTTACTTTTAGTACTCTTTAATAACACATAATTTTTATTAAATTTAATAGTATTTATCAAACGAAATTCCTTTTAATTGTTCGTGCATTTCAAAACTAACGCAGAACAATTTCGAAAATTTGCTAAGAAATTTCATATCAGTTTAAATAAAATAAAATATTATAAGATTTTTCCTTTAAAGGTATTGTGTCCCTTTAAAATATTCCTGTTTCAGTAAAGAGTGCAATAGTTATATTAATTAGAACATTTTGATGATGGTTGCTAAAACCTTTCTGAGAAAAGCTATTACACTATGTAGACAGCTTGATATATTTCATGGTTATTAGATTCTAATCACATATTTACATCTAACTTTATAAATGAATGACTCAGAATGAGTTTTTAAAGTGTCACTTACAAATTGTCGAATCTCTCAAAATTGTTGTTTCTGTTTAATTAGTTTGTTATGGAAACTAAATAGTATGCGAAAATTTTGTTCTTTTTTATGTATGTTTTGAAAAGAAGAAATATTAAAAATCGATCATGGAATTCGTTTATTTTATTCATTTCTCATTGTCATGGTGATTTGTAAGATTATTGAATGGCCATGGCTAATCAATAGAGAAAATTGAGAAATTTATTCACTTCAGTAAAGTTATCACCATTTTTATCTCATGAATCGTCTGCTCTGTAAGTTCTTTTGTGTATTTTAGATTTTAATTAAATTTTAATAAATTGAGTCCCGTTTTTTTTTAAATTTTCTATAATTATTTTTGTTTTGAAGTTGAAAATCATATTGTCATTTCTCGTTAAAAGGCGAGGCACTTGTGGAAAAAAGTAAGACTCTATTAATTTTAATTAAGTTATTCCCACTTTTATTGCTTAATGCCAGCGTGTCTGTAATCTTATTTCTATAATTGTTTAGATTTGCGTACATTTGTGAATGATTAATAAATTGTAATTCTATTATTGTTTCATTTTAAGTAGAAAATTACATTGTTAAAAGCCAAAAAGAAAAAATGAGAAGTTATAAATTAATCACATAAATTGGGTATACTATAGCCTACGTCACAGGTTGTGTTATTCCTACTAAATTTAACCCATGAACGGCATTTTCTGCGAGCCTAACTTCAAGCCACAAATAAACAAACGAAGTGTTTGATCGTTTAAATAGCTGCTCGCCAGATTTTATTGCATTATAAAGAAAAGTAATTGATATTCGATTTTTGATTAATAATCGATTTATGTGGATAGTGGCATAGAATTTAGCATTGCGTCATGGTAAATGTTATTCCTACTAAGTGGAAGTAGTTGTGTTTTTTTATATTATACCCAATTAAGTTAACGTATCTGAAATTTATTTGCATGTTTATTGAATAAATTTTTCCCACCACTGTTTTTAATGAATTTTAATGCTATTATTTTTATATTTTAAGATGAAAATTATATTTTCTTTCATAATTAGAACTCGATATAAAGAAAGGTTATGAATTAATCTTTTTCAATAATTTTATCCCTCTATGTCGTCTGCTCTGTAATTTTATTCGTCGATTTGTTTAAATAGTGCATTTATGAAACGGTTCCCAAAAGGTGTTCCTTAAGAACTCTTAGGTTCCTTGGAAGCGTCACAGGGGTTCCGAGTTCGGACTTTTTTGTTTTTAAACCAGTGGTGAGTTTTGAAACTTGTAGTTATACTAATGTTCAGTTAATAATAACCCGTTATTTATTTAATATATAAACTTAATTTATTTTTATGAAATTAGTTACTAAATATGGCTAAGAAAGGAAAAAAACGGCAAACTTGCAACAAAAAAAATTTTTTTTGACAACCCTATACTGAATAATTCTTAAATAATTTTTTTTATTCCTTCCAGGCTCCATGAAACATCTTTTTGGAACAATTTTAGTGCAAAAAACATCTACACTTTTGTGCTTTAACGAAAAATGAACTATCAAGTTTTCACCATGCTGTATCATCATATAAATTCCGTTGGTTAATTCATTTTCTTCTAATTCTATTATAACAATACTAACGTATTAATACATTGGTTAATAGTCAATCAACGAAGTGCTGCTTGTAGTCCATTGAAAGTTAATTATAAATCGTTACTTTTTTTCCTTTTTTAAACCTCATAATTTATTTTCCTTAAATATTTAATAACATTTTTTTATTTAAATGCATTAATTAATCAATAATAATTAATACTGAATTTCTTATACCATTAAGTTCAATTACTTGTTTTTTATTACAATTGTTTTAAAATTAGTTGTTGATTGATGCAAGATTATACAGTAATATAAGCTTAATTTGCGAGAAAGTTTTATTGATTAATGCGTCATAAATTAATCAATAAAATTGTGATTTTGTTACTATAATTTTTATTTAAAAATAAATTATCGTCTTGTTGATAGTGCTAATTATCTTTTCATTATTATATCTATCATTACTTTAAGAAAGCGGAGATTTTCTTTTTCTTAAGTATATTTAAACTACAACTAAGATAGTTTATATTATAAAAGAACTATTTAGTTATTTATTATAGCTATTTCTTACTTTAAAACAATTATTTTAATAATTTAACTAATATTAATTATTACATTTTATTTCTGTTTAATCTTATCACATAATAAACATTTTTTTTCACTGCATCATAAATTATACTATAATAATTTATTTGCCACAAACAATTATATGGTAATTACGTTAAGTTTATTCGTATTTATGCATAATTAAAATTATTTATTAATTTTTCCTGTACTATCTCAATATAAACGTTTTTTTATCAATCTGTTATCAATCATTCATTATTAGTTTATCATCATTTACTGATAATTATATTATAAAAACACTAAAAATATTTACACTATCAATTATAAAAAAAATTTTGTTTCTACATATGTAACCCTATTACAATAAAAATGCGACTTTCTGTGTGTATAACAGATCAAAGAAATGTTAATATTTATAGAGTTAAAAAAGTATAATATAGTATATAGTTTTATAGTGTAATTAATATAGTATTTTTATCGTAAACATAAGCATTCTTTATTTATATTATGCTGTCGTATTAAACCTCATCATTGTATTATCAGTTATATATGATTTTTTTTAAATTTACAATACTATTCATACTATGAAATATTGTTTTAGATAATTAAGCTAACATAATCTTTATTTTTCTCTATTTAATCTTATCACATTAAATATACTTACTTCAAAAAGTTAATTGTAAAGTATTATGGTACTTCATCCTTGAAGATATATTTTTCTTCTTTTTTTCTATTTAAATATTCGAATTGAGCAATTATGGGCTTATATAATTATCACTATATTAAAAATTCTATGTTAATACGTATTAACCTAAGTTATCTAAAGGTATTATTTATACCATAATTACAATGGTATTATTTATACCATAAATACAATAAGATTATTTAAGTTAGTCAAAATAAGAGGAACTTTATTTTCTTTATATAATCAATTTATATTAAAAATACTTATTCATAAACTTATTTAAAATTATTATGATACTTCATCCATGAAGCTATTTTCTTGCAAACGATTTTGCTGTTAATGTTCCATTTAAATCATCGAATTGAACAAAATATGGGCTTAGATTATAATAAAAGAAGTGTGGAATAAGTTTACTTTTTAATCTCATCCCCGACATACACAACCGGCGACATGCTTGAGTGATGGTCCGAGCCACTGGGTCACCACCTTTCGCCCCGATGGAGAAATCAACTACCGATCTCCCCACTTACGACAGAACTCTTCAAAGATTCAACGGATGGCTGTTCTGGCGTTTCGATCTACCCCGAGTGCAAGACGAAGAATTTTCAGCTGCTCAGCACTCCCATGCTGTCATGAATGGCCTCACGAGGAACTCGGAAGGGACGCCCCATCGTTGCTATGGCAACGCAGATGCGGGCGGCTCTTTTCCGGCATGCGCGGGCGTCGGCAACTCCACCCCACCGCACAATGAACTCCTCCGAACATGCTTCTCAAAAATCGATTCTTCAGAAAAGGCGTACGAGCTTCTTAATGAAGACGCCCGGTTCCACTATGGTGCTAACTATGGCGAGAAAACGCTTCTGGAGTATGACAACTCCGTAAACATGGGCAATCTCAGTAGTCAACCCGGTGACAAGAAAGGCAAGGGTGCATCCAAAGATGCCAAGTTTCGCTTCGGCAAGGGAGAAAACAAACAAAAGGGTGGCGGTAAAAAGCAGTCTACCGACCAGAGGAAGCATGCTGCTGCTGTTGCCGAAAAATCGCCAAGTCCTGGCAGCTCTATGTCCAGTTCTGTTTACGTGGACACACACAGTCACTTACCCACACCGAGTGAAGCAGGTGAAGATGACTCTATCATAGAAGGTGACTCTCAGATCTTAGACGATGGCACAGTCACCTTGCAAGATGCGTCTCCTGGCAGCCTCAGCGATATCACAGTCTTCTGTGAGGACAACGAAAGCGTCAACAAGCAGGAAGCGGGCGTGATTCGCAGCAGGCCGCCCTCCACGTCGCAGTCATTGCCAGGAACACCAGCCGAATCTGATCCGAACTTTGCGACGATGGGATATGACGGCCGATATCGGTCGCATGCCGAAGCTGAGTCGTCGTCTTACAGCAGTGGCGGAAGAGACCTGAGCACCAGCTCGTCCTCCAGCAGCATGGACATTCACGAGTTGAACGGGAACTTGAACATATACAGACAGCAACACCAAAGAGGTTCGCTGGACTCTGGTTTGCCACCCTTTACGTTGACACAACACAGGAAAGTGGTTTTGCCTCCGCATAAGTATGCTGCCCCACCGCCTTCGTCCACTCCGTCACTGCAGAACGGCAAATCGGCTATCTCTGGTTCGGAGGAATGTCTGAGACCAGCGAATCTGTATGGATCTGGAATGGAACAGCAGCAACACACCCCCTCCCCGTCGAGAAGACATTCATCGTATGGGGATGTGCCGCCGCTGGATGGTAATGTCCTCCGAAAGGTAGCATCACTCACTCTGGACAAGGCTACCATAGACTCTAAAGTAAACAGACCCAAGTTTGTGCCTGAAAAATTGGACTTCAGCCTCTATGAGAAGTTTGAAGGTGAGTTTTTTTAGCAACTTTAAATATTACATTTTCTAAGTTATTATTTAGTATAAGGTGTTTCGTAATGAATGCCCTTAATATATATTTTTAGATTTCTCATTAAAAAACTGAATTAGGAAGCGTAAATTAATTTTCAAAAGAGAGAAAAGCAAAAACGGCCATTGAAATTGCTAAGATGGGGATGATAGCATAAAAATGTGCTCGATTGTTTTAGATTCGGATGCGTTTCTAATAATGGCTTTTTATCTCCTCTGTTTCCTTCTGCAACAAAACAAGTTTTTACATTTTCCTCCCCGCCTTCCTCGGTAGTATCTTATCAGATTTTGAATGCGTTTCTTTGTTTAAATATTAATTTGTGGGCCCTAATGTATGTACTCGTTAACGTGGATTCTAAATATAAAGAGAAGTCATTACGGAACACCCTGTATATTTAAAACATTGTGGTTCCCCTTGTACTATCCACAAATGAATGATCATATTCAAATGATTCACAAGTTACCTTGTCTCTGTCCATTTTGTACAGTGGTCACTGAATGCATTCTAAAAATGAGGTTAAGTTAGGTGCTATTTATGCTAAGCAGAATGTTTAAAAGTTTCAGTGGATTCTTATTGAAAAAAATCGTAAACAAAACAAAATCTAACACAATCGTAATTATTCCTAAATTATAGTATAATAGTAATTATTCCTAAAGAGATTTCTTTGGTTGTTATCAGTATCAAATTAATAAAAGTATCTTTTATCCTTCAAATATTTCTTTACCCCTGATTTTACTGTATTTACCTGTAATATTAGTATTTAATATTATTCTTAGCGATTATTAGGTTTTTACTTTCGAATATTATTTCTAATTAAATGTTTAAAGCTAAAAGAGGTGTTCCTTTATGATAAAATAATCCAACAATATTACCTTATTGCTCAACATTTCATGATAAACATATTTAAAACGTTGTCTTAACCGTTTAACAGTTGTGAAACAGCAGATAAGTTATATTCACTTTTATAATAAATGTTGTGTAAAACTGCATCAACTTATGCAATTAATATGATGAATACAATATTGCTAACCATTATTAGAAGTTTTCGCACCATTACTAAATAATCTAATTGGCGAGTTTTTTGAAATTATCTAAAATTAATTAGGAATTTTTAAAGAAAAAATACTGTCGCCGAAGTAAGATGATTAAGTTTAAATTTTATCCCAAAAGAATTAGAAATTATGTCTGCAAACTGAAGTGTTAATACAATGAAACGTTTTTGAATCTTACAATTGAATACTTTTTAATTGTTACAAACTTTTTATCATCAAAAATTTTAAAAAAATGATTGCAAAGCGAATACATGGTTGAGACCCCTAATTAGTAATACAATTTGTCAAGAATGTTTAAAAACAATGATTTCAAATCTTATTGTAGAACAATGACATGACAACTGTACAGCTGCTTTACTTTGTTTACTTACACTAAATTTACTTACACCAAAGAACTTTTTATAAAATAAAATAAAAATTTGTCGGTGAAAACCAACTTAATTAAATGCTAATAATTTAATCTTCTTTTCCTACAGTCGACCATTACATTTTCTTAAACATGAAAATTTGTAGTTTAAACTGTAGTTTAACTGTAATAATCTAAACAGGCACATTTTTAAATGAAATAATATTTCTCCCCCTTAAATACCTAAACTTGAATTGAGCAAATCTAGTTTGCGAGAGAAATTGCGAATCGTCACAGCTGTAGATTTTATTTTATTCCTAATCCTGAATTTGCAACTATCAATGTTGAAGTCATTGTAATTTTAAACCCAACCCAGAAGACAAGGAAATACCCGGAGATTAAGAATTGTTTCTGAGTATCAACTTGTTTTTAACACTAATGATTTCAGGTTTTTCTGCGCTACATTATTTCGAAACGTCTCCCCTTAGTATACACATATTCTTTTTTTTTTTTTTTTTTTTTTTTTTTTTTTTTTTTTTTTTTTTTTTTTTTTTTTTTTNTTTTTTTTCCTTTTTGAAAAGTGTCAACAAAAAATGTGCCTACGAAGGACGAATATTGATATTAAATTCAAAAAAATCCAAAAGGATATGCATAAAAAATCTGACAAATGACTATTAAGCAAAGCGGGTATACAAAACAGCAAAACCTCTTTAACTGTTGATGGAAATAGAAAGTACAAATATCTTCAAGTTCCAACCAGTAATCAAACAGGTTTTGATGTTTTCTGCACATGCTTTCCTCAATATTGATTTGTCAAATTTCTATAGCATTTTCAATTTTTTTTTCTCTTAAATATTGCTGCCCATAATATGAACCTTCAAGGAATAGATAAAATCTTTTTTTTTTCTTTTTAAATTCAAGAATCACCGAAGTATATATTAAGAGTGGTTATTACGACACACTCTGTGTTTATTTTTGTTGTGCATCACTCCCAAAGTATCAAAATAATTCTTGAATCTCTTCAAGTATGTCCCACCTTGAAATTTTTAAAACACGATTCTTTTAATTTCTCTAGTGTCTTCTGGAGTTTCTATATCTAACTAAATTTATGTATAGGAACTCAAGTGTCTTGTTATTGTTTCGCAATAATCCCTTTACTTTTTTTAAAAATTTCTGTCGTATTGCTTAATCCTAATGCATGGACATTCATCATTTTATTTAAATATATCCTTTCTCTAGAATAATTAAGCATGAAAAATTTGTGTGTTAGAATAAAATATCGAAGTGTTTAACTTTTTTTAGTAAATAATAAATCAGAACATTTTTTTTAAAAAACTATTAATTAAATTCACACATTTGTATTTTTTTATGAATAATATGAGCTTTACATGGACAGTAGACTTCCAAATTCTTAAAAAGATTTTTTTTTAATACTTTATGATATACATTACATCGATCCTAGAAACCTAATTAATACGTTAACCATACATAATGTACTTATCTGTATCATGTTTCATAAAAAGTGCTGTAAATTTAGTGGAATATTAATTAATGCAATTATTTAATTGAACTTAATTAAAAGTGTTCCTTGAACGTTCCTTGAATAAATCTAATTTTAAATATTTTGATCATAAAAAAGCTTTTGGACCAATGTTGCTTGAAATAGTTTTAATATTTTTAATTTAAAATCTTTTTTTGTGAAATTTTTTTATAAAGTTTTTAAATGTTTATTTTTTTAATCATATTATTTATTATTATAATAATTTTATAAGCATTGGTATGCGTTTAAAAACATTTCTCGTAACATTTGTATTCTTTTTTTCAAAAATTTAATAATTTTTCAAAATTTGTTGTGCTATGAACATTTTTAATACGATGTAATTAAAAGCGAGTTTTAATTAATATCTTCGTCATATTTCACTTTTTTTTTTTTTACTCAAAACCTTAAATACCTTCTACTCGTATAGCAATATTGCTGACACACACAAAGCATGAAAAATAATATATAAGTCATTTTAAAAATCATCTATAGTTTTTTTATTTATTTATTTTTTATTGTTAAACTTTCAATAAATGTCAAAAAAATAGCTCTCACTATGTACTTAATCTAAATATAAGGTATCGCATAAACTCGAGTTAGCAATAAATTATATTTTAAATTTCATAGAATTTATGACATCATGCAGACGATAGCTAAACGAGCTGTAAAACACGTTTTGAAATATCTCCTAAAAAAGATATTTTAAAACTGTTCTTCCAAGGCACTGTTGCCATATGAAATGACATCTTCTTAACGAATAATATATTTTTGTAACTGTTACGAGTTTGAAATAGTTATTTATGACTGATAAGTTAAATTTAGCTTTTACGTCACGACCGCTCTCTGTTCTTATTCAGAGATATATTATATACATATATATTATATACCAGGGTTGGGTTTTTGACGTCAAAAAGTGATTTTTGACATGACAAGGGTATAATACTGGTTTAAACCGTCAAAAACTGAAGTTTGCCAAGAAAATATATAAACTTCAAAACTACCAACAGTTACCATGCATTATATTGAAATTTAATTATACTATAGGTAATCAGCAGGTTTTAAAATATTTTTTAATTAAAATTAAGGTAAAATAACAGATTTAAAATCTCAGAAATTTATATTCAAATGCATGTGCAGAAAAATTTTGCACAAATTTTTTTTAAATATTTATATTTTGAAAAAAAAAATTTTTTTTTTGATACTTAAGAAAATTAAAAGTTTATTACTATGCATTTTTGACATATAAGGAACATATAACTAATATTTATAAGGAACTTACAAGTTATGTTGTATAAATACAAACTTGATATAAGATACAAGTGTATAAAAAATTTTTTTTAATGTTATACCGAATATCTTTATTATCCAGTATGTTAATTTGAATTTAAAAGTAGTTATATTTGTGAATAATGATAAATATAATTCATATTGTTTATTATATTTATTTATAATTATTACACTTATCATTTTAAAACAATTTTTATCTCTTAATTTTTTTTTCTCCACTTGTATTAAGAATACAAATAATGCATATCTTGAAAGCAAGAAGTAATTATTCAACAGCTGAATATTTAGATATTCAACAAAACTATATAGTATTCAGCAAAATGAAATTCACAAGTATTTGGATAAACTAAATTTTCAGCATAGTAAATGAATAGGCTGAATATACTGTAAATCGACACTAACTACTCTGTGTATTTAACAGAAAGCACTTAAATTTGTATTGTCTTATGTTAAAAAGATTATTAAGAAGATTTAAAAGAATATTAAAAAGATTTTTCTTTAAAAGATGTCTAATGTACAAAACTGCTAATGTTTATCTTTAAAAATGTCTAATTTTTAGTATAATCTATACTATACACTAAATTTGGTTATAAATAAATTTCTTAATAATATCACTGCAGATTTTCAATAACACATGAAAATGAATACATAATATTACAAAAGATGTGAGCTTTCAAAAGTACAAGATTTTGGTTACTATTCAAAATATAAGTGTTTCTTCAAAATTTTAAATTTA